AAAATAAAAATAATAAATAAATTAAAAAAATAAAAAATAAAAAAAAAAGAAGATCCACTTGCAGAAAAAAGCAAATTTCTTCAGATTGCTAGTAACTTTAAGGAAGCCATTAGTAGTTGTTGTGCAAAATCATGTGTTTTATTGTTAGCTTTTGATCAAATGAAATATTCTTTTATTCCGCAGTGTTAACCGCTGGAAAAAGCGGGGAATAGCCATAATACCAACCAAGTTTGGTATTGCATTCACTGCTTTGTTTTTGAATCAGGTAATTTGTTTTCTCTGCTGTCATCCAATCTTTTCTTATTATTATAATAAAAGCGTTCATGAGTGTGTTGTTTACCATGGAACCATGCCTGATAGAACCAAGGAACCAGGCTTTACGTAGTATTTAAAAAACGAGTAGGAGTGTTTTATCATTGTGGTTTTAGACCTGATAAAACACTCCTACTCGTTTTTTAAATACTACATAAAAATTGTTTGTTACATGGAACTTTGCTATCTGGTGAAAAATTTAAATTCCTAGTCGTGCATAATTGAGGTAGAACGTTTGATTTGCACAACTAAATAGTTGACCGGTACAGTGTCAACACCTTGTCTGGATAACTTTTCGTACGATAAAAGCTTTTTATTTTTGGAGGCTCCTTTGCTGCAGTATGCCCTGCTCGTGAACAGATAGTAAACACACTAATGTTTTCATATTGATCCGGTTCCGTGTAAACAGACCGTACTATTTATAAAATCAAAGAGACGGTTTTAAGTAATTGATACTGGTCAAATTTGTGAACGATAAAAATTTCATTCGGTACCATGTTAAAGTAGCATTAATGATTTATGCGTGCGTGAAAGAGATAAATATCACGTCAATCAACTTTGAGATCAAATATTTCCGCAAAAAGCGCGTTTATCGAAAATATGAAACACCGTTGTACACTTTAATATGGCGTGAGTTGTTCACAAGTCGAAACAATGCCATTGTTCCTGGTACTTTTTGAAAAAGGGCGGAGGTCCCCTGGTAAATTAAGTAATCTGACTAGTTATTTGTTCCATTTCATTTGATGTTTGATAGGCTGGTGCCCTGGTTCACGTGTACACAGATGGGTCAGTCTTGGTTACTCATGGAGGAACAGAAATGGGACAAGGTCTGCACACTAAAATGGTCCAGGTATGGTTTATCGATTGCATTCTAATCATAAAGAGTCCTTGCTTGTATTTGTTAGAACGTGATTCACACACTAGTTCTACCAATAACTAACGCAAAGAGTGCATGGAAATTGCATTCTGTTATTAATTCCTAGGTAGCAGCTCGTGCTCTGGATATTCCGATCTCCAAGATCCATCTGAGTGAAACAAGTACAAATACCGTCCCCAATACCTCCCCCACTGCCGCTTCTGCTTCATCAGACTTAAATGGCATGGCTGTCAAGGTAACCAGTCAAACGTTTGTAAATCACCAGCGTCTCTCCATCCATCCATCCCTGCCTCCCTCCATCCCTGCCTCCCTCCATCCCTGCCTCCCTCCATCCCTGCCTCCCTCCCTCAATCCAACCCTCCCTCTATCCCTCCCTCCCCTCCCCTCCCTCCCTCCATCCATTTGTCTTAATTAATGCCGTTTTTTAAAGATCGCATGTGATCACATTTTGGAAAGACTTGCGCCAATAAAAAAGAAAAATCCCAAAGGCACATGGGAAGAATGGGTAAGCAAGAAACTGTTGTACTCTTTTAATGCGTAGCTTACTGTATATATGAGTTGTTTGTTGGTTCTCTCCGAGGGTTTTTTCTGCAGGTTCTCAGGTTTTCCTCCCTCCACAAAAATCAACATCTAAATCTCAATTGGAATTTCAGTGGATAGAGAGCTACTATGTAGAAATGCCACTGTTAAATCCCAGGGAAAAACTCTTCCAAGCCCCGCACCTCTATCAGTAGCTGTTATCTGCACAATAATGATTATTATATGAATCACTAATATGGTTTATAGAAGCAGACAAATAGGGAATTCCAAGATCGAAATTCGCTATATATAAACTTAATAAAATACAAGACGATGTTGCTAAAAGATCCGCTAAAAGCTTTGAATTTTGTTTTAGCTTTCCTCTGCTTCCTGCATAGTGTACCTAACACACCTGGTCGTTTGAAATAGGAGTATAAATTCTTTCTTTTCAGATTAATACAGCCTACTTCAACCGTATCAGTCTGTCTGCAACTGGCTTCTACCGGTAAGCATCATCCAACTGCTCTCTTCACTGATAATATAGACAATAATAAAAAAGAAGGGGGTATATGATGAGGGTAGATAAATAGAGGTGGTTAGTAATGAAGTGTAGGTACTGAGGGTGGTCATTCATGAGAGGTGGTTAGTATAAGGCGTAGATACAGAGGGTGGTCAGTCATGAGGGGTGGTTAGTGATGATGAGGTGTAGGCACTGAGGGTGGTCAGTCATGAGGGGTGGTTAGTATAAGGCGTAGATACAGAGGGTGGTCAGTCATGAGGGGTGGTTAGTGATGATGAGGTGTAGTTTACTTACATTGTTTTTATAACCATAGGTATCCCGGTATAGGTTATGATCCGGAAACGAATTCTGGTGCTCCATTCAACTATTTTTGTTATGGCGCTGCATGTTCCGAGGTCGAGATCGATTGTCTCACTGGAGATCACCAGGTTATATCTCTACTCTTGTTCCTTTTAGTTTAGATATCTGTAAAGTATAAACCACTGCAGTACGTCTCGTAAGGACTGGGCTCTCTAGATGGTACTAGTTACATGACTGTACATCAGTCGAAAAAGGAATTGAAAAACAGGATAGTTGGTTATCTTAAAAAACGCATTAGTTTTACGATAGGGGTGACTTGAAAACATCCGGCTATTGAAATATTTTATCTAGGTTCCTTTTTTTAAGTGGGAGTTTAAATTTAATATTTATTTGTTTGTTTGTTTGTTTGTTTATTTATTTATTTATTTTTGAAGAAAACAAAAAGTTGAGAGTCATTTATTTACTCATTTTTCTCATCGCCATTTATTATCTATTGCTGTCGAACAGAACTTGCGCACAGACATCGTGATGGATGTTGGAACCAGTCTAAACCCTGCCATCGATATTGGTCAGGTAAACATCAAGTTAGCATAGATTTATTAGTATGACTGTGAGGACTTATGCTACAACGTCTGCCAAGCTATTTAACCTAAACCTAAACTTTATCTTGAATACTTTCAATAATTATCGTCACACCATTGAAATTTTAACTGGTCTGAAATAAAATAACTCAAACTGACTGAACAAAAATTTGCACCATTTCCAATTTTACACCCCAACATATGAACCTATATAAGGGTTTATGCAAACGATAAACTACAACTGTTATCCTTCAGATTGAGGGAGGATTTACTCAAGGCCTTGGTCTTTTTACATTGGAAGAAGTACGTTTCTCTCAACAAGGTGCCTTATGGACGACAGGGCCTGGAGCTTACAAGATTCCTGGATTTGCAGACATCCCAGTCGAGTTCTCAGTTCATCTCTTACGAAGCGCGCCAAATGAGAAAGCTATCTACTCTTCAAAGGTTAGCCATTAATAAGCTTATTGTTACCTTTTTGTCTATGTTATTACTTAGAGTTTGGTTACAAATATATCATTGACTGGATTGCAATATCAAATGAATATTAAAGCACCAGAACAAAATACAATCCTTAAATACATTATGGCAAACTGTACAGAAGTACTGTTTTGTTAAATGATATTAACGATCTATGTATCCATCTGAGCGTGTATACAGCTATCTCAAAACGTTCAAAGTTGAGGCAAGCGATAGGCAATAAGCAGTAGGTCATTCCAAGATACAAGAATAGCTTGGATGACTTGTTTTTCTTATTATTATTCTCGTGAAGAACACCGATGTTGTTGTTGGGGTAGTTATTGTTGTTTGTAGTCGGCAAATCCCTTTAAAACACCTTGACTATTCGTGCTTGGATGCATGCCCACTGTGCTTTTGGGTCGTGCAATCGCAAATCACCGATCGCCATTTGGTGTTCGCTCCTTCAACGTTTTTAGAAATAGCTGTATGTCTGTCTGTTTATTGATCAATATAAACACTTTTTGCCTATACTCAGATACAAAGTCTAATGAACATAATAAACTCTGGCTAAAAACTACTTTCGAATTCTCACGTGGGATTTTATTCGCTAGGCTGTGGGTGAACCTCCACTGTTTCTGGCCGCGTCAATATTCTATGCTATCAAGAACGCCATAACAAGTGCCAGGTAAGACTATTGGTTATATTTTCTTTATTTTACGAAATTTAATTTGTACGTATTTTGCATTTGTTCCAGGCGTGATGCGGGTATCGAGGGTGTGTTTAGGTTGGACAGTCCAGCTACATGTGAACGCATAAGGATGGCTTGCGTCGACAAATTCACTAAACAGGTATCTGTAAGTACCACGACTGGTATAATGCACACCTTATATCCATGAAAAACGTTGTAAGAAATTGCACAAATTTGCATAAGTTAGTAAGTTCAGTACACCTCAGTAGACCGTAGATCTACAAAACTTTGCACTAATTTGTACAATTTTGTTATAGTTAACTTTTTCACGGATATATAGTAAGCACTCTATCTTCTAGAGGACCTCGTTGTGTGACCTAGATTACAAACATGTATTTGACCGTTACTGGTACCCCATAGTGCTTCCCAGTCGTAAGAGGAGAAAACGTTTTCTAAGTTAACATCTTAATAGCAACAGAATAATAACGTTGTGTGATCTACTTTTCTTGTAGTTTCCAGTCAACACACACCCGTCAGTGGACTTCAACGTCATACCCTAAAACCCTATTTATAGACTATTAGTCGTAAACAATGCTAATTAAACAATAGGATTAGCATAATTTAGCAGTATTTAGTGGTATGTTACACACTTACAGTGTTTGTACTCTAAAGAGACCCCGAGCTTTGTTAGCAGTAAAACCGGGATATCTACTAATGCTCCTTTACTATGAGACAATAAGCCTTTTCATAGTTTAAGAATCGATTCCACTGCGCATGCGATTTTATCCCGAATTTCTCACCTTCTTTTATTTAATTAAGAACAAAAGAAGGTTTAGACAAAAGAAGGTAGAAATTCGGGATAAAATCGCATGCGCAGTGGAATCGATTCTTAAACTGTGAAAAGGCTTATTAGCAAAATACTGGAATCTAGAGAAACTCACCTAGTATGTTTTCTCCCTTCTTGTTAATAACTTTATGTCCAACTATCTATCTTATGGTAGGGACTAAGAATCAATGAATGAATGAATTAGTAAACGAATGAATGAGAAAAGGGAGGGAGGGGGGGAGGGGGGGGGGTTGAGGAAAGAAAAGGAAAGAAAAGGAAAGAATAGAAAAAGGGAAAACTGATTTCAGGAAAGAAAACTATAATATATACACTTTTAATATGCAGTCAACTCTCGCCTTGCGGAGACCTAGCTGTTATGGACAGGAGCAAAATCCCCGGCAAAAATAATGACAAAGAAATGACCGCAATTAATTCTCGTTATTGCGGACGCTCGCTATTACGGACACTAAGTGACGGTCCCGAGGGTGTCCACTGTAACGAGAGTTGGCGGTATTCCTTTTATAAAAAAACTGAAACGACTTTGCGCGAGCGCATCTGTCTTCTGATCTGATATAAACATGGGAGGCAGCTAATTAACGCGTGCGTAATATTTCTAATATTTTGTAAAAGCACATATAATGATTGTATTTGTATATTTTACATTTTTAATTCCCAATAAAGTTGCAAAAAAACATTGATTCTAGTAGTTATTTCAAATTCCTCGTACAACTGTGTGTGTCGTTAGGGGAATGTATTGGAAAAAAACTAGGAAAAAAAAAAAAAAAAAAAATGGAAAAGAACAAGATGAAACGAAAAGAACTTTACTTCTAGTATGATGTCCCTTGTCAAAAAACTAATCTTGCTGAAATTTGCTCGATTTTTCTTCACATAAGTAAAACACTATATAAACATTTCAAAAAAATATAAACTAGGTTTTGGAAAACATTGTAATATAACCAAAAATGCCCTGCGCCCGCATTTGCTATATAAAATCTAGCGTATAAACACCATAGGCAGTCACTTATTAAAATGGTTCCTTGAGTACGAAAACTAGCGAATTCTTCGTAATGAAAACTCTTATCATGTTTTGGGTATTCTCAAACACCAAGATAATTGTTTTATTGGCCAAAAACAAAGATAAACAAGCGTAAATTTTCCTTTGAAAGATCTTCTTGTCAGCCGAACTTCCTGCACAAACAGTCCGCCATTGTTGACAGTCAGAACATTGCACAGTCCTACTCTCCGCATCAAGGATCGGCCAATAGATGTATGCCCGTTTCCACGTCCTCCCTCCTCCCGCCCTGCTCTAGTTTTTGGCGAGATCACCGAGCGTAAAATACATCGAATCTGCAAGGCAGGCTAAGAAAGAAGTTAATTTTATATATTTCATCACCTCAAAACCTTTCTGAGCAACATCCCTCGCGTCGCCACAAATGCTGATAATTTTAGGCCCCACTCAAGAAAAAAAATCCTGTAGTGGATTAAACTAGAACTTCCTTGATTGAGTCATCCTTGAGACGTGACGAGAATAATTTTTAAGACGAGGAATACAAGAATTGGGGTTACTGCTGAACTTAGATTTTTCTGATCAAAACTAAAATCAGCTCGACGATCGTTTTTGGGGAAAATCACTTTCTTCCCCCGAGAAAATAACAATGCTGAAAATGACGCCAAATTGAAAACCCTTTATATTGCTGGGTTTCAATCAGCTGATAAAAGTCTTTGAATCTCACTACTTGCTCCAAATGGTGGTCAAACACTGACCACCATGTGCTGTCAAACAGAAAGAATTCTATTGAAAACTTGTGATTCAGCTGATGAACATTCCGCACGAGACAGGAAATGATGTGTGAAACCCAGCAATTTTTGCAATGTCTAGCAGAACAATGGTATTACGGCTTATATTTTATTTATCTTTTTATCTTTTCAGTTTTCTTTTCCTTTCCCTTTCGTTCCTTTTCAATTTCCTCTTTTTATCTATTTTCATTATCTTTTCTTTGTATCTGATTCAATTCCACAGGTAGATCTTGAATCTGATGGATATCGATCACGATCTACATAGGGCGGCTCACTGCGTCTATTTTTCTTTCATCGCCTTAATATAAATACCTAGTAAGAGTGCCGAGGTGCAGGACAAGTGGGGGTAACAGAAAATGTCCACATAGGGAGTTTCAGTAAAGTTCACCATTGATTATCCGGACCTCCAGCTCTGTCTTGAGCAAACCACATCTAATGCAACACGCGATTATTATGCCACATTTATATTGTGCACTTTTAAGAATAGTGATGGTGTGGTGTGGTGTCGTTTATAATTAGAATCGAGAAATTTCGAAAATTATTTTAGGATCAGTTGTGGACGTCTAACAAACTATTAATGATAATGGGAGTTTTTATAAAGCATGTTTCACATTGTGTCAATGCGCTTTATATTTAGTGCGCCAATGTGCCAAATCTTGCTGCATATTTGATACCCACGAGGCTTTGTGGTTTTTGTATAACCTTTGAATCGACAGCTCATTAAAATATGGCGGGAAGTGATAACACAAACGGACTGTACCCTTTTGGGTTCAGATAAGAGCAGAACTTATGTATCGTGAGACCTCTTGCAATGAAGTTGTTGAAAACACCTACGACATACACGTTAACCTTGGTTCCTGTGAGATAGACTATAAAGACAGAAAGCGACTATTTCAGAAAACGATGAAAGGAAAATAAGATGAGGTGAAAGGAATTTAATGAGAAAAGTGAGAGGAGAAAGAGAAAGGAGAAAAAAGACACAAAGAGAAAAAAGACAGCAAAAACAACAAGTTATGGACGACGTCGGAAGACGTTTTAAATTGGGGTGGGGTGGGGTGGGGTGGGGGCTAACAAACACTTTTCATAATCAAAAGTTGGAGGTGGGGCCAACCTCTGTTTTTCTTCATAAAGGAACTCAAACTAAAAAAAATTATATGTCCCTGCAAGTCAGTGCAACAAAAAAGGCAGCGCATTCTTACAAAATGAAACACCAAATATTGGAAGGTCAACAAAAATCTTCTTTAAATTGACGCACGAACGGAGATCGATTTGATAAAGAACTGACCTGTTCATTGACCTCCGCCGGAATTTTGAACACAAACTGAGATACAAACGTATAATAAGTGACATCTTCCCTTGGGTATTGTACGATGGGCCTTACATATATATTGAACAGATTCACGTAGAGTTTTTGTGTAAAGCACAATGTCTTGTTTGAGGAACATTGAGCTGCTGTTGTGTGTTGTGCTTGTAATTTCTTCAGTAGAAAACAAAAATTTTCCAAAAGATCCCAGCCACGTTCGTAGTGATGCAAGAATTTCTAATAACCTAAAACAAGATATTCTGAGCTTAATGCAGCTAGCCCGCAGACCACGGCCAAGTATGATGACTCGCCTCCACGGCCGGCGATGGTCTGCTCCTTTATACATGGTGAGACTTTACAATAGTATATCACAGACACAGAGCTATCATGGTGGATTCTGTTGTAATGGTACTATAGCCGATTGGAGAGCAATTGGAGCAGACACCATCATGAGTTACTTGAATCAAGGTATTCTATTGAGTTTCTTTTCCAGCGTTTTCTACGAGCAACTGACTTCAACTTCTAAGTTGTAGTACATTTTAGGGGGACTGTCAAACTCGTAAGTCTTGTCTGCAATAAGGCGTTTTCGAAATGCTCCGTTTTCGCTCCTCCGAAATAGCATAGAAAGCTTTCCATTCAAACTGTCTAATGTGATAAGCCTCCGTTTTCAGATGTCTCCACTCTGGAGAGCGTTTTCCGATATGTATATGTTTTCAATGAAAACGCCCTGCCCTTTTGATCGTCTTAATGTGCACACGAGGTCAAACGCATCAAAAAGTAAGCATTTTAAAAAGAAAACGCATTAGTGTGGACGTGGCCTTCTGTTTCGCCCTAATTTTATATGAGTAAACAACATTACAAACTACGGGATATTCTTTAATATTATTTAAAACAAATAAGATGTTACAGTTGTCAAGAAGTACGAGAAGCACGGTTTTATTTGTGTTTATAAATACATAAATGAATAGCCGAGTCAATTTTCATCCTTTCATCACATGTATAGTTCAGTTGCTCTACCTTCCAGCCAACGCTTGACTTAGTTTCATTCTACGCCATTGGATAGAACATTTCGTGTCACCATTCATTATACCTATGTAAGAGACTGGTTGTCGACCTTTCTTCCTTTCTTTCATCACTGAAATCCTTCCTCTAACTAAGTTGTTCTCTCTCCCTTGCAGTCATCACTTGACTCTAGTCTGAACTTTTTTAAATTTTAAACCAGCATTCGCTTTGTTCTGCTAGAAAAATATGATTTAACATGAATCAAAATGTTGATTTAATCATACAGTAAGAAGAAAGCCGCCAAAGATTTCCCGCCATCACGTGACTTTCAAATTCCTAGTTCAATCCCCGACAGACGAAAAAGTCATAGCAACGGAGTTTCGCCTATACAAGGAAAGAATGTCGTCAAACAAACAGTCTTGGAAGAATACGACCTACGTAGTTCGCCTGTACCAAATCGTCTACCCCGCACAAGTACTAGATTTACTGGAGACTCGTGTACTGAGAAGCTGGGACATAGGATGGCAGGCTTTTGATATCACAAAGGCAGGTAAAACGTGGTCTGAAAACCCATCCACAAATCATGGTCTAGAGTTATCAGTTATCAACTGGTTCAACCAAGAAGTCAATCCTTATCGAGTTGGTTTGGTAGGATTTCACGGACCACTAGAGAAGCGACCTTTCATGGTATCGTTTTTCCAACACGATGGCGAACACTATCGGCTTGCTGACTCGCATGGTCCTCTTGAAAACATGATGTCACGAAGTTCGCGCTCACTCGACTCTCCAAACGATGATGGGCGTACAGCGGTTGGCGTGGGAGGTAGCCGGGGAGGGGAAGGAGGTGGAGGTGGAAAAGGGGGAGGAGGACAGGCTGGAGGTGGGGGAGGAGGACAGGCTGGAGGTGGAGGAGGACAGGCTGGA